GCGATCATGTCTACGCCGAACGTGAACGCATATGAATGTGAGCGGTTCGGGCGCGCCTGACTCTGAACACTCGCGACGCTGAGCAAGGCCGCCGCAAGGATTTTCCCCGGGGGCCCCGACGGCAACGCCCGCGCGCCGCAATGCCCATGTCGACACGCCCCCCGCGAGGATCGCGCCCGTGTCCCTCCCCTCCTCCCCTCGCTCTTTGCCCGCGCGCTCCAAAGTCCGAGGGCGCGGGGCCCGCGGCACCTGCCGCTCCTTCTGGTCGGTGGCCTTCTGCGCCGCCGACCTGCGCGCGACTGGCCGACAGCGTCTGCGCAGGGCGAGCGCCCCAACGAACACCAGAAAACCTTTTTTCCAACGTTTGCGATGGATTCGCCCTTCTACGCGCCCGCCAAAACCCTCCGCGAACTTCCGCCCACTCCCGCGCATTCTTCTCCGCCGGCCAATGCGCGGCCGCCCGACTAAGGCGCGCGCAGCGCGGACGTTCCAACGAGCGGTGGGCCCTCCGGAAACGACGTGAAACGACCAAAGCGACGACAACAATCGAACGGCCGAAAAAATCTGCCTTCTCATTGCAAGTGAGCCCTCAGGCACCGTCCAGAAGTCTCTGGAAGCGCCAGAAGCACGAGACCCAAATTTACAAATTCGACCGCATTTCCCCCTCCCCAAGTCAGAACGCCAAACTATAATTCGACTTATCTTGACTGCGCGCCCCCCGGTATCCTCCCTCCTCCATCCTTGCCAGGGCCTACGGGGACCCCCTTGCAAGTAAGCAAGGAGGTGGTCTATCAGCAAGGGGATGGCGCACGGGCTAGCAAAAATGGAAAAGTACAAGGGGAACAGGGTTGGGCGGATAAGGACAAGATAATGTAGAGGGACGAGGACGAGAACGAGGAGGAAAAGAGAGGACGACGACGACGACGACGACAGCGGAGGCGGCGGCGACGACGACGACAACGACGACGCGAACTGCACTGTAACGTTAGCAACACAGAGAACATCGATGTGCATGGCTTGTCGAAACCGCTCCAGTCCAAACCCGCGCCCCTGAGGACGCCTCATCGCTTACTAATCCTAGACACCGGGTGGAGCCAGGCCTCGCGCCGCGGTGGCTCACATTACTTGCAACGGATGACTTCAGCGCAACATAGACTCAATTGCCATATACATAATTATTCACTACTCGGGCAAACACGACTGGGAGGAGAAGGAAGAGGAGGACGGGGGAAGATGCAAACGCAGCGCTGGAGAGGAGTTCGAGGGAGAGAAAGAAAACCACGCGCCCGCCCTCCCGCTTGCATCCTCACCCTGGAGCGGAAACGCGGCCTATTCGTCCCCTCTGATCGTATTGTTTGCCCTCCTGGTCATCATCATCATCCTCCTTATCATCTTACTCAACCTCCCTCTTCCTGATCCGAATTGCCTGGAGATCTCCGGGAGCCTCCGTCCACAGAAGCCATATGTAACGTTCCCTCTGGGGTGCGATCTGCGCGAAGGGCGCCCCGAAATCGGCACAGCGCCGCCATGTGAACCCTGCCACTGGGGCATTCGGTGGAGCTCCCTATCGGGCCTCGAAGCGTGCGAAAGGGGTGTGCTGAACTAGGGCGGCACCGACATGCGGACCCTGCCGCTGCAGCCTTCGGTGGCGCCGCCTCCGGCCACGAAACGTGCGAGGAGTGCGCCAAAATGTTGGGCGGAACTGCAGCCATTGGGGCCTTCGGTGGAGCTCCCTGTGGGGCCACGAAGCGTGTGGGATGCGTGCCGACATGGGGGTGGAACCGCATGCGGACGCAGCCACTGGGGCCTTCGGTGGAGCTCCCCATGGGGCCACGAGGCGTATGGGATGTGTGCCGACATGGGGGTGAAACCGCATGCGAGCATAGCCACGGGGGCCTTCGGTGGAGCTCCCTGTGGGGCCACGAATCGTGTGAGGGGTGTGCCGACATGCGGGTGGAACCGCATGCGAACGCAGCCACTGGGGCCTTCGGTGGAGCTCCCTATGGGGCCACGAAGCGTGTGAGGGGTGTGCCGACATGGGGGTTGAAACATACGAACGCAGCCACTGGGGCCTTTGGTAGAGCTCCCCAAGGGGCCACGAAGCGTGTGAGGGGTGTGCCGACAAGGGGGTGGAACCGCACGCGGGCGCTGCCACTGGGGCCTTCGGCGGAGCTCCCTACGGGGCCACGAAGCGTGTGAGGGTTGTGCCAAAATTGGTATCGATGATGGTGACGATAACGGCGATGATGGCGACAATGGTGATGATGACGATGATGCCGATGATGAAGACGACGACGATGATGATAATGACGATAACGATGACCACGATGATGATGACAATGATGACGATGCTGATGATGATGATGATGTGGTCGATTCGGGGCCATCTTGTTTCATCTTTGTGCGAACGGCGGAAGGGGGCCACGAGCGCTACGCCAGCTGTGAAGCACAGACTCGGAGAAACATTAGCTCAAGTGGGTGGGAGGGCCCAGGGTAGAACTTGAGCGAGGGAATACGGCCGCGGAGTTACCACAAATTCCGACAAGTCGCTGTATGTGGTCGATTCGGGGCCATCTTGTTTCATCTTTGTGCGAACGGCGGAGGGCGGCCACGAGCGCTACGCCAGCTGTGAAGCACAGACTCGGTACTACACGCTAGTCTGACCAGGTGGCAACAGCCGAATTACTCATTGACCAGAAATTTTCTTATATCTCGCGGCGCGGGACAAATGACGAGCTTCGGCCACTATCATTTCAGTGCCAGCAATGGCCACTTCTGAGGGGATACCCTTAGCAGAGGCCCGAGCTACGGCGTCAAGAGCTGGACGCCCCAGGCCTCCCAGGTGACGTCTCTGAGTGCGATCGCAAAGGCCTTGGGCGCGGAGGCAACGACGAGCGAGGCGCTCAAGGTCCCGCACGCCCCAACTGACAAGGTGGATTCGCTGTCTCACGCGACCCGCATACATGCAAGAGTCGAGGGAGCAGGAAGAGGAGGACGAGGCAAGGAGAGGGGACAAGCGGGGATGCCTCCAGATGAGGCTCGACTCAGGGTGCATAAAAATGATCGGGACTCGGCGGAAGATACCTTCAGCAATCAATTTGAAGGTGGAACCTGCCAGCGCGTTGGCAACTCGCACGGCGCGACAGGCGGCCTCTGAGGCTCTATGTACGTGCAACAGAGAATGAACCTTGCGGACGCGCGCGGCCCCTGGCGCCCAGGCGCCCCAGGGCAAGGATGCCCAGACACCGAGCACAGCTGAGCCGCGGACCCAGCCAGTCAGAGCCTTCAAGACCTGAGGGTCAGCGAGGTCGTCTAGGCGGTGACGAGCAACGTTCACCGCTACGGTGCCGAGCCCGCGGGCCTCACACACTCGCCGTACACGGTCGGGGACACAGGTGCAGAGCATGATGAGGTATGGCATTACAGTGGCATGCGCCCGCGCTCGTCGCCACAAGCGCCTCACTCGAAGAGCCGCATGACGGTCCTCACGGGAGCCGTCTGCACCGGCGGTGACGCCGACAGCGGCCTCAGGGGCGGCAGCGGCAGCGAGAGGAAGCCCGTCCTCGCCATCACGTCCATGCCGAGGAAGACCAGGGCCTCCGCGAAGGCGAGCCGCAGCTGGTGTGGCGTGAAGGCGCAGAGGCACTCCTCCTTGCGCCCTTGCCGCAACGCCTCGAGGAGAGGCCAGAGAGGCGGATCGTCGACGATGACGCGCTCGACGGTCTCCTCCGTCTTGCCACGCCTCCCGCTCGCCGCGTCGATCACCAGCAACGCCAAATGCTGGTAGCCGTCCGTGGGGCCCGACCTAGGAGCGATCAGGGTGGCCGCCGTGAGTCGGTAGGCCTCGCTGGGGCGCAGGTATGCGTCGAATGCAATCCTCACGAGGGCCGCCTGCGACAGAAGGCCCCGAGACACCCGCGCGCCCACGATGACGAACCTCGCGACCCTCGGCAGCGGGAGGAGCGTCTGCGGCGGCACACGCTTCGCCCAGCCCTGGCGGGCCCGCAAGGCCCGTGGCAGCGGCCGGCTCCCCATCAGCATCGACGGCAACTGGTGCTTCAGAGCGGCCATCGTGACGCGGCCCGTCGCACTGTCGTACCCGCCGAGGAACAGGTGGACGAAGGACACCACGGGGATCGCGACGAGCTCGACGCTGTTCGTGGAGTCCCTGGCGGTCCAGAGGCACCAGTTCAGAAGCCTGAGGGCGGAGGCGTGGTAGTACCTGCCCGTCGGCTCCGAGACCGCGCAGGCCTCCAGCACCGACCGCCCGCCCCGCAGGAGAGTCAGCGGACCAGGCTGCACCCGCTGGCCCCGCGCCGCCTTGATCAGCTCCGTGGGCGATCCGCAGGCGGCGCGAGACGAGGTGCGACCCGACGTCCTCGAAGCTAGGGCCGACGAAGAAGCCCTCCCTCGACGGCTTGTCCGCGACGTTCCTCCCTGACGGCACCCACCGCACGAGCAGGCGCAGGCCGCGGGCGAGGGCCGCGCCAGCGATGCGCCGCAGGGCGCGGAGAAGATGACGGCTCCCAGACCGCCCCTGGCCGACCGAAAGGGCTAGAGCCGAATTGTCCACAATGCAGACGACGCGATGATGATGAGCACTCAGGGCCCTCGAAGCGTGATGGACGCTGAACCCCAGGGCCTCCGCCTCGTACTGAAGGATATCGCAGCCCCGTCGGGTGTGACGGCTAGAGCGAATGGTCTTCCAACCCTCGGCCCCGTAGATGGACTCAGGAACCTCGTAGAACCCACTGAGCCCAGCCGACGAAGCAGTACGAGCAGTAGACGATGTGTCGGCACGGCAACCGTCGGCAGCATCGTCTCGACCGTCGACGTCTAGGGCGCGTGATCTGGCAAGCACAGCATCCCCACGACGATACCTCCAACGTTCGGCGACTCGGCCGGCCTCGGACGACAGCGTAGGGGAGACCTCCTTGACACAGACACCCTTGCCGAACGGCGACGCATCAGACGCGTGCGCCCGTGGATGCCAGCGAGACCTTGTAGAGGCACTCCAGAGCGGGATGAGGGCCACGGCAGCCGACAACTCCCTGACGACGGAGGGCCACAAGGGTCTAGGATGGGGTCCCACAGCCCCCATGAACCGATCGACCGCGTTAAAGATGCTCAGAACGTCGCGCCTCAGGATCATCCCCCAGGTACAGTGGCCTACGAGCACGCTGAGGGCCCCAGCAGAGGCCCGCCCGCGCTTCAACAGTCCGAGAACGGCTTGCCGAGTGCAAGCGAGGCGGTCAGGACGAACGCGAATGATCCCAGAGGTTCCGTCGATCTCCAAGCCCGTGAAGACCCCCTTACAGACCGCAGGGGAGAACTCCAAGACAGGCAACCCGCGGGCAGTGAGAAGGTCAGCAACGGCACGAGCAAGGGACGTGGCTGTCTCCGCGCACTTGGATACGACACAGAAGTTGTCAACATAACCAGCACACACCGCGTCCTTCTCCGCCACCAAGGGACGAGGACATCCCCCATCCAGAATCATATCGTCACTGCCAAACCCGACATCCGACAGGGCTCTCGTCAGCGCACTCTGGCACAAGTGTAGAGCCCAACTCCACCCCATGGGAACGACCGTGACAAGACGCTGGAGATAATCGTCGACGCCGAGACGAACCCCGTTGACCGACTTGAGGCCGAGGAATCTGTTCCTTATCGGTGGCAAAGAGAAGAGAGACTCCATGCCAGCGGGCAGTCGCAAACGATAGAATGCACACTGGATGTCGCCCTGCGCGAACTGAAAACCGTCGTCGCAGTCAAGGCTGGCCCACGCGCTGGGCGTGGGCAGGCGAGTGGCTGGTGGGCACGAGAAGCTGCAGTTGGCCAGCCTGGTGTCGAACACCAGCCTGAGCTTGCCGTTAGTCTTCAGCACAAAGAAAAGACCAGTAGAGAAGGGTGCCTGCTCGCTGGAGACCCGCCAGGTGATCATGTCGTGGGCCTCCAGCTGCTTCAAAAACTCAGCGTAGGACTTCGGCTTAAAGCGCAGCTCGGGATCCACATAGGGGCGACTAACCCCCAACGATTCACGGAGCTCCGCCGCCACCGACTCGGGATTCAGCATACTCTGCCTCCAACCCTGCAGCACGATGGAGTCGGCCTCGGAGACGACGCCGCAGGTGGAGACTGCCTTCGTCGACTCGGGCCAGGCCACAAGTGGCATGCTGAAGGGGCGCACACGACCGCTGTCGCCAGCGTAGCCAGGTGCCTGCGCGAGCATCTCTACGAGGGATGCTTCGCAATCGCGGCCTCTCTCCGAGTAGGCGGCGGGCAGCTCGAAGTCGCGGTACAAGCCCGCGATGTAGTCCACTGAGGCTGCCTGGGCCGCAGGCGGTGCCCCCCCGTCGTCAGGCATGGAGGGCTCGTCCTTGCCGCAGTGGAGCCAGTTGAGAGCAGTCAACCCCTCGTTGCACCACTCTCTCCAGCTCGCGCCTTTGGCGGCTCGTAGACGAGCACCCCGACCAAGCGGAAGATGGCGACGCCCATCCACTGGAAGAAGAGGGAGCGGAAAAACGTCACGCTGGCGACGGTCACCTCGCCTGGGTGACTCCAGGCCAGGTGGGGCCACGAAGGGCTCGGGGCAAAGCTGGCCAGGCTCACGAACCGGTAACACGTCGCAAGGCCCCTCCTGGCCAGCGTCCTTCAGGAACGTCATGGATGCCGCAAGGCCCGCTCCTCGCGAGCCTTGCGACGTTCTTTTGCAACGGCGGCCTCACTCTTCATCTGGCCGGCGATCCAGTCCATCAAGGCTGGGCAAATGCACAAATTGCCCATCGTCTCTCCCGTGCCGAGGAAGTGGCCAATCTCCGAGGAGGCCTCGGCGGCCGCGGACGCGGCGCCGTCCTTGGCCTGGCCCTTGGCCTTGGGCGCAGGCTGAGTCCTGCGCGCGCGCTCCTCGAAGAAGCGCTCCTCCACCAACTGCAGCTGCCGCGAAAGGAACTCGTAGGAGGCCAGCTCGCAGATGATCGGCTGGTCGTGGCAGAGCGAGGTCTCGATGACGCGGCGCAGCGTCTCGTGGAGCTTGGCGGTGTCGTCCGTCTCCAGGGCCTGTATCATGGCCATCCAGCGGTTGTGCCACGCCATCGCCCCGCCAACCATGCGCAGCATGAAGTGGGGCACCCGCGTCGTGGTCCTAGGGCCCCTCACGGGCCAGTCGGCGCGGGCGGCCTCGGTCTGGCGCTTCGCGGCGCCACTGAAGGGCATGTCCCGCAGCCCACGAGCGTCGAGCACGGTGGCCATCGCGCGGGGATCAGGTCCCGCGACGCCTGGGGCGGCGGGGGCCGCGGCGGCGCCGCCGACGCCCAAAGGGTCCGCGGCAGCAGGCAGGGCGGCCCCCCCCGCGCCGAGCGCCGCCGCCAGCGCGCCCACCCCGGCCTCGGGCGCCGCGGCCACGGCGGCGGGCGGCCCAGGGGCGCCCGCGGGGGGCACGGCCGCGCCCGCCAAGGCCAGGGCGCCAGGCGCTGCGGCAGCGGGCGCCGCTCCGAGCGGGTCGGGCAAGCCCAGCGCCCCCGCCGCCACGCCCAACACGTTGTCGGCGCTGAGCTCGAAGTTGAAGGGCGACGGCGGCAGAGGTCCGTGGCCTTGAGCGACGCCGCGGCGCACAGCAGCCCAGACGACGGCTGCGGACGGCAGCCGCCTGAACTTGAAGAGCCTATGGGCGGCGACTCCGACGATTGCGTCGCCCTGGCCCGCCGAGTCATGCACTGATCTCAAGTCGTCGCCAGCCAGGTCGCTCTCCGCGTAGTCGTCATCGTCGGGGGTGAGGATGTACCCTGGCAGCAACGTGAGCCTCTCGTGGTAGATGGCGGGCCCCCCCGACGTTGTACCGTACGTAGTGGAACTGGCCAGAGGTGCGAGCAGCCATTGCTCCTAGCGGCGGAACTTCCTCGCCTGGGCAGCAGCCGCCGTCGCAAGGTCGAGCGTGTCCACCGTCTCGGGCAGAGGTGCTGGAGCGGGTGCGGGCTGAACCACGGGGGCCGTCCGAGAGCTCTTGATGAAGAAGCCGCCTACGACGATGCCGTATGCGAAGGAGCTCACCACAAGCACGACCACGAACTCAGTTGACCAGCCTGTGGGCTGCACGGATGCCAGCGAGCCCTCGCCTGTCGGGCAGCGGCACTCCAGCGCAGGGCAGTGCAGCGCTGGGGAGCAGACGCAATATGGGCAGGGCGTCGAGCTGCCGCGAACTATGATGGCAGTGGTGAGGGCACTGGTGAGGTCGGCGCAGACCCGCTCAAAGAATGCTTGCATTCCTTTAGAACTTGAGCGAGGGAATACGGCCGCGGAGTTACCACAAATGCCGACAAGTCGCTGTGTGATGCTGATGCTGATGCTGATGCTGATGCTGATGCTGATGGTGATGGTGATGATGCCGCTGATGATGATGATGATGACAGGAGGAAAGGGGCAGCGGGAGGAGTGAACGCGGGGCGCTGTCTCTTCAAAACGAGAACCCAACACCACAGGATGGTTGGGAATTGCTCCTTCCGCATTAGCCAGGTCCTGCGCCGCCTGCGTATTTGCCAGCATAGCACGTGCTAAGACTTCGGCAACTTGGCGCTCCTTCTCCTCGGCCTGGTCGAGCTGACTGCGCGGGCGCTGCACTGCCCTGGCCGCCTGCTCGTGCTTGACCTCCGCATCCCGCCAGGCCGCGCCCGTGCGCCGAACCTCGTCGGCAGGAGACGCAGTGGGCATCGGCTCGGGCACGGCGATCTCAGTCAGCGGCGCCTCCAGCACGGCCCTCATGTGTGGGTCGGTGGTCTGCGCGATGGCCGCCTCCATGGATGAAACTAAGTTATGAGGCCCAGCCGGCGGTAGTTTCACGGTAGACTTGGGACTCAATGACGTGTCCCGAACTGTTTCTTACTGTGTCTTACTCGATGAATCGACTAGGGCTAACTGGGTCTTACTGTCTACGTGAAGCAGACATCGAACGAGTCCTCCTGGGGACGGAGAGGCGCACCTGGCGACTACATGATCCCCATGTCCGATTTAATCGCAAGGGAACATCCTTGTGTTCGAAAAAGCCACAACCATTACATGTCTAGAAAAGACGTGGCATCCTCGGCTTTCGCCGCCGCAAAGAACAACTCTAAAGGGACAATTGTCGCTGCGGCGCCCCCAAGCGCTCCGTGGAAACACCGAGGTACGGGTCCCCTGGGATCCTCTAAAATGGGGTCTCGGGCGCAGATGGCTTGAGAGGAGGAGAAGGAGGAGGACGACGACCGGGAGGAGGATGATGAGGAGGAGGAGGACGATGAGGAGGAGGAGGAGGAGGAGGAGGAGCAGGAGGAGGAGGAGGGGAGAGGGGAAAAGAGAAGAGGAGGATGAGGACGAGGAGGAGGAGGAGGAGGACGACGACGAGCAGGAGGAGGGGGAACGACCAGACGGAGGAGGAGGAGGGGGAGGAGAAGGATGAGGAGGAGGAGGAGGAGGAGAGGAAGAGAAGAGGAGGAGGAGGAGGACGACGACGAGCAGGAGGAGGAGGAGGAGGAGGAGGAGGAGGCAGAGGAGGAGGAGGAGGATGAGGACGACCAGGAAGGAGGAGGAGGAGAAGAAAAGAGGAGGAGAAGAGACGAGGAGGAGGAGGAAGAAGCGGGCGCCCGCAGGCCCCCCCCCCGTGACTTCCGTGGCCGCCCCGTCGCCAGCCAGCGCCGCCAGGGGGCGCCCGAGGGCAAAGGGCCAGAGCGCCCGCGCGGAGCGCGGTGCCCCCCCAGCGGAGGAGAGGAGCGCTCTCCTCGAGGAGCTGGCCGATCCTGGAGTTGAACTTGTCCTCGATCTCCTCCACCCTCCTGGCGCGGGAGGGGGGCGGCGTCTCCCCCTCCCCCATCGCGCTTCTCCCCTCCTCCTCCTCCTCCTCCACTTCCTCCTTCTCCTCCTTCTCCTCCTGTTCCCCTTCCCTGCCCTTATCCCTCTTTCTCAGCCCTCCCCCTCCACTGTACTCATGCTCCCTTCCCCCCCGCTTGCTGATGCTGATGCTCTTTGTCGTGTTCCTATTTCTCCTCCTTCCCATCCTATTCCTACTCCACCTCCTCCTGGTGATCATGGCGCTGGGAGGCCACCGAAGTTACGCCTCAACCTTAACACGTAGCGCTCGTCTGCTTAGCAACCCGACGGAGAATATACACTCGGGAGTCGACACAGAAATATGGATCAAGGAGGGAAGAAGATGGAGGAGAAGGAAACAGGAGGACGATAACAGGAGGAGGCGGAGGAGGAGAAACAGGATGAGGCAGGAAGAAGACAGGGGTGCGGAGCACTACCCAGTAGAGGAGGCTCACGACGTGGAGGAACCAGCAGTCTGTAAGACTTCTACGTGGGGCAAATCGTCTTCTCCAGATGGCTCGGGAACCTGCACGCCTGGGGTAATGCACAACATGTGTACAGCCGCCTGCTGCAACATCCGCTCGTTCAGGTCAGAAGGAGCCTCTGGTCACCTTCCTCCCCTCGTTCACGACCCCCTCGTCCTCATCTTCCTGCTCCTCCTCCTCCAACCCCTTCCCCTTCCCTCCCCGCCCCCTTCTCCCCTGCCTCTCCCACTCCCCTCCCCGCCCCCGATCCCCGTTCCCTTCCCCCCATGACCCCGTCCCCCCCCCTCAACGCTCTGCTCTCCTCGTCGTTGCCCGCGTCCTCCTCCACCTCCCGACCCTGGCGCCCATTTGTTTGCAATTGTTTGTGAGACAACGCCCGTTACCGGCCCCGCCCTCACCCCCACCTGCCTTCCACCCCCGGTCACGTCACGGTTCGCGCCCGCGCCGTCAAGGGGTTAGCCATCCCTCCGCACTCCTAGACGGCGCCGGCGCGCATCGGGGCCTGACCGCCCCCCTCCCCCTCCACCCCCGGTCACGTCCGGTATTATTGAGCAGAGACCGACCATCCCGGCATTCCTACAGGCCTAACACGAAATTCTCTTAGAACCCAAAAATGTTCTTAGAACAAAAGCCATGTTCTTAGAACATAAACCCAATGAGTTAAAATGGCAATATCAAGGACCCCCACATAACCAGAACACGGTGAATGCGCACCAGCGCTGCGAACACTACTAGTAGTACTACTAGGATTAAGACTACTACTACTACTACTACTACTACTACTACTACTACTACACCTACAACAACTACTACTACTACTACTACTGGGACTACTACTACTACTACTACGACGGCTGCTACTACTTCTAAGACTACTACTACTACTGCTACTAGGACTACTACTGGGACTACTACTACTACTTCTACTTTTACTACTACTACTACTACTACTACTACTACTCCTTCTACTTCTACCACTACTACTACTACTGCTACTACTACTACTACTACTTCTACGGCTACTACTACTGCTACTAGACTACTACCAGGTTTACTACTACTACTACTACTACTACTACGACTACTACTACGACGACGACTACTACTACTACTACTTCTACTACTACTGTCTTCTTCTTCTACTACTACTACTACGACTACGACTACTACTACTACTACTACTACCACTGCTGCTACTACTACTACTACTACGAGTACGATTACGACTACGACTACTACTACTACTACTACTACTACCAGTACTACTACTACTACTACTACTACTATTACTACGGCTACTACTACTACTACTACTACTACTACTACTACTACGGGTACTACGGCTACAAATACTACTACGAATACTACTACGAATACTACTACTACTGGTACTACTACTACTACTACTACTACTTCTACTTCTACTACTACGTCTTCTTCATCTTCTCCTACTACTACTACTACTACTACGACTACGACTACTACTACTACTAATACTACTACTGCTACTACTAC